TATTCACAAAACCCAATTTATCCCAAGTAATAAAGCAACCTAATTTCATGTCAGAAATTTTAATCAACAATCTAAGATTTGTGATTAGGAGTGCCCGAAGGGTGGGTTGATGGTGCCTCTGGCCCCAACACCCCTCAGGAAACATACATCGGTATGTACAGCAAGACAGAGCTGCATAAATACCTTAAAGAATAAACCAAACATCTTTATATTTTGAGACACTAAACCCTCCTTTGCTAATGTTTATTTTCTGGATAGTTTGGTTTCTATTCACTTTTTCTGGCAACTTAGGACATTTTATAGATACTTAGGTCTATTTTTTCTGCATAGCCACTATATTGCTTTACAAAGGACCCAGAATCAATGCGATACTGAAAACGAAACATTCCTCACCGGCATTTTGTCAAGAAATGGCGATCATGAGGTCTTCAAAAGCCCCATGGAAAGTGCAAATGCACATTAGGATTTTGTAAAGAATAGCATAAAACTATCAGAACACATAAAAACAGTCTATCAAAAATAAAATAATGCATAAAATACATGAATTAGGAAAATCAGATATTGAAATGAATCAAAAAATTGTCTTCACAAGCACATAGTAATTCATTAAATAGTTGAAAGATCACAGGAATGAGTCAACTCATATAATTGTAAACATTCGTGATGTAAACTCTCTCTTCACTGTCATCTGTCTCCTTTATTTTCAGTTTGCGCACCTTATGTCTTAGATGAAAAGTTTCTTAGTTTATGGCAAGGGAATCATTCCATACACTTTTTTTTTACTGTAACCCTGATTGTTATCCGCTGTAAATTTACTAAATTACCGAAAATGTCACACATATCTAACAGATTAACCTATAAGTTTCTACTGTTCTTTTCTTTGATTCACTTGCAAAACTAGATTTGTACACCTTATGCCATAGATGAAAAGTGTCTCAGTTTACATCAAGGTAATCATTCCATATCTTTTTTTTTTACTCAATTCCTGATTGTTATCCACTGTAAATTTACCCCCATGGTCTTTCAAACTGTTAAAAATGC